TGCACACACATCCCATCGATAGGACGAGCAAAAACGAAATGAATCTTCCGCTGAAACGTGGAAGTATACACTGCCATTTTTTGGTTTGCTCGTCTTATCGATCCAGATAGCGTGCGGCGAGTCGTGGGGCTGGAGACTTATAGGCTTTCTCCCTCTCACTCTTTCTCTCCTTCTTTGATCTCCTCTATCCTTCTCCATCTCATTTTCTCTCTCCCTCTTTCTCTCCCCTTCTCTTCCTCACACACACGCACACACCCCGTTGCCTACTGCATCGGTGCAGACCGGATCGAGAACCGACCTCTCGTACAAAGTATGAGATAGCGTAGTGGAAGACTTGGGTACCGATGATCCGAACAATCAATATTGCAATGCAGCCCCGACCATACATCATCATCATCATTCCATGGTGTAAAGGGGTCTGGCGCTTTACACAGGAAGACTGCGCCAGCCCCAACCATACACAGACGAAGAAGAGGGAGGTTAGACCAAGAAGAGGGGAAGATGAGAATGTCGCCTACACCAAGTCTTCAGCACAGGCTCAAATAGTCCTTCGTCAAAATGTCTGAATCCCATTGTCGAGTCTGGATCCAATGTCGTCAAGTCTCAAGTCACAACTTTCTCTCTCTCTGTCGTAGTCTGCTGATACTAAGAAGTCAGGTGATGAGAGGGTGAGAACAAGAAGGTGGACTGAGAGAAGGAAGAAGAAGAACTCTCTCCCTTTCTCTTCTCGTACAGATAGTAGTAGTGGACGTATATTATCACGTTGTAGCATTAGATTCATTTGTTTTTAGTATTTTATTTATTTATTTATTTTATTTACTTTATTTATTTATTTATTTATTTTATTTATTTGTTTTATCCTATCGATCTATCCCAAGGAAAGCCGTATGATTGGCGGCTTACCTGTTTTCTCGTTCCCGCTCCACGTCGTCGTCGAGCCATCGTCGTCGTCAGCCTGTCGTCGCCTGTCAGCCTGTCGTTGTCGCCAGCCTCTCTGTCGACATCGCCCGTCGCTAAGTAAGTATCCTTTCCCCGCTTTCCCTTTCTCTTCTCCTCCTTCTTATCTCTCCTTTTCCTCCTTCTTCTTGCTTCCTTCGTCGACTTTTCTTCCCGCCGGCTGCAGTGTCTGGTGAGTTGTTCGTCTCTCCTTCTCTCCCTCTCTTCCTCTCCTTCCCCTTCCTTTCTTCCTTCTCCCTCCTTTCGCCTTCTCTTTCCTCGCCGGTACTATCTACTCTATCCGTGATCACTGCTCATCCCTTTGCGCCGTTTTCCAGTACCTGCCCCCCTTTCGACTTTTCTTCGTTTGCGTTCTGCCGCACTCCTTGCTCCCTTTGCCCCGCCCCACTGCAGAGTCGTACCAGGCGTAGTCGTTTGGCTTCTTACTAGGTGAATCCGGCCCAATATCGGGGCGTGATTCATTTGGGCACCTCGGGGCAGGTAGGCCGTCGAGGAAAACACAAAAAAAAAGTAAAAGAAAAATCAAAACTGAAACAACGAATCTAACGCGATTCAACCTTATGATTCATCCCTACTTCGCAAAGTGTCGGAGCCCTACGACACTCGGTTCTAACTAACAACTAACTTTACTAACTCCTACTTGTAAAGTCGTGGGTTCGAATCCCGCCTCACCGAGGGCGGGTGAAAAATGCAGGCCCTGCCCCTTACTGCTAGGAAAAGAGCTAGCCCGGAGGCAGGTCGAATTCGATCCCAATATCTCCTGTATATCAATCCGCGCCTTTACCTACTGGGCTAGCTCTTACCACGGTGTGGTAGAGCACCCCCTTCCTATAAATATACGTCGTTGTTTGTCTTTTCTTAGTCTGTGAGAGAGTGCACGTTTGCAAGTCAGCCTGTCCATCCACATTTTCGTCAGTTTGAGTATGCGATCGACCACAAGGGTACTTAGTGGACTGGTAGGCCCGAAGGCCCGGCACTTAGTCGTGGCCGCACCGTTAGAGGGCTGCGACGAGAACATTCTGGTGGCGGGTAGGCCCATCCCTAGTTATGGTCGCGATATCCAAGGTCACGGCGGGAAACACTCACGTAACGGAAAAGATCCGTTACACCTTGAGCGTGACGGACAATTTTCAAGTAGTAGGTAGGTTGGTACCTCACCATATCGAGGTAGACGCGGCGTACTTGACTCAGAGGCTGAGTAGGGGAAGACAAAGACTCAAATTTTTAGAATACCTAGTACCGAAGGGAAGACAGGCACTATACCAAATCTCAGTGCGTGTCCTAGACCTACCTGACACAATCATCAACCCAACTGACCCTTCGACCTCTTATGTCGAGGGGTATTACTACTGATCCTAATCACCACGGCGCGCGTCATAATAACGCGCGTACACTCTTAACGAAATTTTCTTACCGATTTTTCCCCCCGGCCTCAGTGGCCGAGGAATTTAGCTCCCAGTGTCACGCCAAGCGTGCACACCCCTTTTATTCCAGACTGGTTCCGTCATGGTAGCCGATGTCGCCACCGTGTCGAATGCAAAGACATGGCAAAATACCCTTGTAAGGGTATTTTGTCCGACAGTATCCCAAACCTCATTAAGCGACGTCCTCGTCGCTCGAAAGCTATATGTACATAAAGGTGTTTTCCGACAAGCAAATCGTCAAATCCGAATCCTGGAATGAAATATGGTTTCAGGATTGACGTCGTCACCTTACTTTTCATTATTACTCCCGAGATCTTAACCCGGGTCTCCCACATAAAATATAATGACTGGAAGTGGGGATACTTGATCTGTACTACAGTACATGAAATAGTTAAGTATGACAACGCACCTTTCCTTCCCCCACACCCTTAGTCTTTGGCCTAGGTATTCGTTGGTTGTTATCAGGGTCAGTGTCCATGTGCGAACTCAACCCTTCAAACGCGGGTCCTAACCGAGACCTTGGTTGTTCAACTCTCGACATTACTTGTCCAAAGTTGCCCGTTGTCCTGCCCGAAGCCTAATACAGGAAGACAAAGGTCTCCATCTCGACCCACCACAGTCTTGCTGATCAGGCGAGAGCTGCGGCCAACCTCGTTGTTGCTTATCGGTGGTTACCCTCGTTGGTTGCGCAACGATGGGATATTCATCCTATCTTTAAAATTACTAATCTTGACCCCTTCGACATCCACCTGAATAGATCCTTTCATTGGGATGCCCACCCCTGTAGTTTCTCTTCGAGGCCATAGTCGAAGGGTCCGCTGCCTGGTTATGCTAGGTCAGCAGCCCACGCTGGGAGTTACGTCCCAACGATGTCAATTTTCCACCATAGGCTTGGTAATTTTATGCCCTCGGGTTAACCCTTGAGGTGGATGAACGATGCCTTTAAAATAAATCAAATAAATAAGATTAATAAATTGAGCATTCGTCAGGCTTCCACTCAGGGTTGTGCCCTCCAACTCTTTGATCATAGCTCGGTCAGGCTTCCATTATTTATATATATATAACGATTATTTTTAAAATAATTTTTTATTGACTCTTTGTTTGTCAGAATCCACGAAAAAACATCACTTCCATAAAGATTGCCAAAAAATTTCTGCAACAAAATTGATAAGACTCAAAAGAGTCTATCCATGTCGTAGCATGGTCTCAAACAAGCAATGTACAATCAATCCAACTTTTGAAGCTTCACAAACTCATCAAACTTTCACATGAAATACAGATCCGCCCGTTCCTCTATCACCTCTTTAGATCTCACCAGAGTCTAGTAGTGATAGACGAAGGGAGATCTTAGGTTACAAGAGACTCAACCAAAGACAAAGATTCACACACAATGTGATAAGTGCGTCGTGTTCACTAACTCATCCCCCTGAAAGATATATAAATACAAATATGTTACAGAGTCAGATTGCTATCAAATACCTCGCATATTTTTTCCTATACTACTTCCTATACTAAGTTTCCTCATCTGACTGAAGAAAGCAACATAACACGTCTCACACCTATCCTCTGTGTAACTGAAGAAGAAAACACATACCCCATGCTTTAAATCACCCCTTTTCCTATTTCATTACTGTTTTACGAACCAATACAAGTCATGATTTACTCAGATACATTTACCTACTCTAATCTAGAAATCAATCTGCAGCCCCAGTATCCTGTGAAGTGCTACCCTGCCTCCCTCATGTATCCTGGAAATGATATGTCTCGTACTGGCCACCAATCTCTTATGACTGTCATATCTGGTCTTTCCTTCCTTAATGTAAACTGCCAGAATGAAACACTCATCCCTGAGATGCCCTTCTTGAGTGTAGAAGAAACACCTTTGTCCAGCCAGGCTAGGCTTGATTCTCTTTATGTCTGGCTGTATCGAAGTCTCAGTCTGATTCTCAACTCCCTTTGGTGAGCCCAACTCAGATTCTCTCTGCTTTTTGCCTTGTCTTGGCAGAGGCATAGCCACACTCTCACTTACCTCCTTTTCTGGTGCAGGAGGCTCTTCTCTCTTCTCCTCAGTCTGTACCCCTTTCTCTTCACCCTTCTTTCTTTCCGCCATCTCTGTGGCTTCCTTTTCTTTCCCCTGATGGTTCAATTTGAGTGCTTCCATTCCTATCAATATCTCACCCCATCTTTTTCTCCCATTCCTGTCCCAACTTCTTTCTCTTTCTGAGATTTTATTATCCAGGTTTATCCCTAGCACACTGACCTCAGATTTCAGACCATCCATCTTTATTTTCATCCTTCCTATTGTGGCCGCTTCATTTTTCAATTTTTTGTCGTTCATAGTCAGGGCGGCCCTCAATTGACTCACTTCTTTTTGCAATTCCTCCCTCTCTTTCTTCAATTTCTTCACTTCCTTCCTCATTTCTTTCATATCTCTCATTAAGTTCTCCACCTGGGCATCCCTCTCATCTTTCTTTTTTTTTAGCCCACTTGTCTCTTCCCTTTCTCTGTCTCCAACCGGCCTCTCTTTCTCAGTTCTCTTGACCTTAGGAGCCTTGCCTCCTTGCTAAATCTCCTTTCCTTCTTAAGCCTCCTTTACTCCTCCCTCCTTTTCACTCCCCCTTTCCTGTACCTCTTTCATTCCACTTTCAATTACCCTTTTCTTTCCAAGTTTCTTTTTTCTTGGTACCACATTTGCCCTCATGCTTCTCTTCCTCCCTCTGCTGCCTCCTCATCTTCCTGTTCATCTCCCTTAGCCTGGTCAGATCCCTTGTTGCTGCTCTTGGGGGAGACCATCGTCGTGTTCTTCAACCTTCTGAAATGCGCATTATCCTTTCTTTCATCCTCTGCCTCCTTCCCCTGTGGCTCAGCCACCTCTCTTCCAATCCATAGCCCCTTCTCTTGCAGCCTTTCTTTTCTTGTTTGATCTTGCCTGGCTTGGGTGTAGGTCATCCACAATTCTGCTGTTATTCTCTTCCAGGTTCGACTCTCTTCCACAATTCGTTTTACTTCCTCATTTTCACTCTCGTCTGATCTTGCGATCAACTGTTTCTTCTTTTCCTCCTTTTTTCGCTCGCCTATTTCAGCGGCCAGCTGCAAGCTCTCGATAAAGTCCTCCAGATTGGTTCCATCAAACCTTAAGTCATCCTCCACATCATCCCTTGGGAAGGCCCCCATGTCCTTCCATAATCTCTCCTTGCATACTTTTCACCTCGTGCACCCTGCTACCACTCCTTCAATCCTTCTCTTATACATTCCTGCTGCAATCACATTCGCAATTTTCTCCCTGTCACCCCATTCTCTCCTGAATGCGTACTCTTCAAGGTCTCGAAGGAATACTCGCAGACTGTCTCCAGCCCTGTAAATGGGCAACTCCTCCAAGCTTCTTGAAACTCTTTAATCCCTCATCGGTCCGCCCTTTCTCAAGGTAGGTCCAGAGGGCCCTGCCACCGCTCCTCTCTGCGCCATGACCTTTTCTTTTCAAGGGTCACGCCTGCACACAGAGAAGGAGCAAATGACAGGTACAAGGATCAAATCATCATCAAGACAACACCTTTCGTTAATCATAAGCTTGACAATGTTTTCCTTTATCAGACACTTCATACACGCACATATATATACACACATATATATATATATATATATATTATATATATATACATATACATATATACATACATGAGCGTATATATACACACATATCCCCACTTATACCCCTTTGAATCCATGTATGTATCCATATATGTATGAGCATAATGCTAGGCAATTGGGTAAATACCTGCATAGGAACTGATACACATACGCATGCCTAAACACCTTCCCAATCTATCTAAGCTTTTCATATCGTAGCTGAGCTTACCTCTTCTCTGACTCGGAATTTCTTCAGTCTAGATCCTGAGACCCAGTCCTTCCTTGGAGTCTCATCCATCTCTTGTAGCTCATATGCCCCATGAAGTCCCTGTTTCCTGACTTTGAATGGTCCCCTAGCCACCGTTTGTCCAATTTCCGCAACCACTACATTTCCAGAGAGGAGTCGTAGAGTAGTACTGTCTCACCAACTTGTAGAGGTTTGAGTCTTACTCTAGGTAACTTGTCCCACCTTTCCTTATCCTTTCCCTTGCAGTCTGCAATGTTCATAGCCGCTTCCTGCATCCTTTCTTCAGTGACGCTGATCTGCCTTGCCCTTAGATCTAGCAGTTCCTCCAAAGTCAAGTTGTTCTCAAGGTCCTGCCTGCGCCAAGTTTTCACGAAGCTTTCAATAGGAAATGTGGCGTGACGCTCATACTAGAGTGTCGCAGGCGCATACCCGGTCGTCCTTTTTACAGTGATGTTCTCCACAAAGAACACTGTTCTTAGGAACTTTGGCCAGAGATTCGGCTTCACACTGGTCCATTTGGCCAGTAAGTTAGTAATTGTGCTATGGCCTCTCTTGACTGGTGCATTCCCCTGTGGATGAGCCCTAGTCGTATAGTTACCATTGACCCCCAATTCCTTCAGCGACTCTTTCACTTCCCCACATGTGAACTTCGATCCCCTGTCCATTGTAAACTCCAATACGAAAGGATATCAGAGATAATATTCTTTAATACAATTTGTCAGCGTTGTCTCGGTCTTGTTCCTGATCGCTCTGCCATCAACGAAGCAAGTAAGGTTGTCCCTTGCTTAAAATATATAATTATATCCTCCAAGACCTAGCGGCATAGCCAGTAGATCCAGGTGGACAATCGCCCCCACTTCCTTGATATATCTAGGATGCAGAGGTTCCTTGTACCTGATAGGCGATCGAATTTGACAGGGCACACATGACTCACAGTATTTTCACGTCATCTCAAACATTCTTTTCCAGTAGTAGAGTTCCATTGCCTTTTTTGTAAGTAGCTGCGAAACTCTGATGTCCTCCGACTATCCCATCATGCAACGCAGCTACTACGTCAATCTATCGATTCCTCCCACATACAACACGACGCGGCGGCCCCCTCTTGTCCCTGATGAACAAGTGACCACCTTTTACCACATAGTGGTCCCTCATCCTGAGAGTCTTTTCATTCTCTTCTCTCTCTCTTTTATCTCCTGAGAGGAGCAACCCCATTTCTAAATAGAATCCATCATACCCCTCTTCCTTGAATTCCTCTGAGATCTCTTCTTGTTCGAACTCTCCTTCCTTCTCTTCATCAAATTCGTAATCATCCCCAATAACTATCTTATCAGCCTTTACCATTCCTCTCTCATCATTTGTTTGGACCTGTAACAACGAATTCGTCAGGTAGTACATTTTTCCCATCACGGCTACCTGCTCGTCTGCCTGTTGGACTCCTGCTTCGATCGTTCGTGACTCATCCATTATCCTATAGTTTTCTGCCAGAGCCAACTCCATCATCCATTCTGTGTTTCTCTCGCCCCAAGAGTCCTCTTCTTCTAATGGTGTGAGTATCAGGGAAGGTTCTCTCATGAATTCGAGCGGTGGATGCCACATTGGATTCCCTCTCCTCATCTCCTTACTTTCGACAAACATGAACCAACAGTTCACATGAGTTCTCATGTTTTCTCCTTCCTCCAAAAACCCGTCTACTGGAGGCGTTTCTTCATTAGATTCTCCTTGATTTCCCCACTCAATTCTGCTCATGTCGTCCGCCCTGTTCTTGTTCCCAGGGATCCGTTCTAACTGGAAGTCGAACATCCAGATATAGGTGAGCCATCTGGCTATGGTCGGATCTGAGGGCAAGAAGTTCTTGAGCGAGTATACAAGCGCCGTTGAATCGATCCTGAGTACAAACCTCCTCCCAAAGAGGTAATGCCTAAAGATTCTTAGGCAATGGAGGACTGCCAAGGCTTCCCTTTTAAACTGCGAATAGTTCCTTTCTGTCGAGTTGAGTGTCTGACTTTCAAACCTCAGTGACCTCTCCTTTCCTTCACTGTCTGCCTGAATCAAGACCCCTCCCAGGGCGGTTGGCCCAGCGTCAGTTTCAACTATGAAGGGTCTCTCCATAGTCGCATCAAACTCTGGTACCCCTAGTACCAAACCTCTCCCTCTGAATTCCTTCTTCAATTCCTCCACCACCTCTTCTTGATGGTTTCCCCACTCCCATTCCTGATCCTTCTGGACTAGCTTCCTTAGGTGCGCTGTTTTGCTAGCAAATATTTCTTTGAATCTCCTCCAGAACCCACAGGTGCCAAGGAAACTTCGAACTTCACCTACATTTCTGAAGGGAGTGGGTCATTCTAGGATCTTATTGGTCTTCTTCTGATCAGGGCGTCGACCATATTCGTTGCAAATATATCCCAGAATGGTTACCTCCTTTAAACAATGTCTTGACTTTACTCCACTGGCGGTGAGGTTGTATTCTTCTAGTAGAGCTAAGACTTCTCTTAATCCGTGAACATGTTCCCACACAAACCTTCTCACCCCTGGGGCCACTTCTGTCTCATCCTTCTCAATCGGGCCCTTAACTGCAAGGTCATCTATGTATGGCTCGGTGATCTGAGGGCTGATTGACTGCATAACCCTGATCCTGCTTCGTTGCACCATGGCCACAACATTGGTCCATCCTTGCAATGCAACATTCATATGGACCAACCCCCTTGCCGTGTGTATCGAAGTGATGGTCTGCCGGATAGACTTGAAATTGATCATACCCAGAGTAGAGGTCGATGAGTGAGACAATCGACCTTCCTGCACAAGCTTCTGACAACTGGTCTGCATTAGGCAACCCTTCAGCATCCCTTACAGTTACCGCATTCAATCGCTGAAGATCTTGTACCCATCTGAGTACTCCGTTAGGCTTTACAAAACAGAACCAGGGAGAGACATATGGTCCGCTTGAATATCCCGCAACATCCGTACGGATTTTTCCATATAGGTATTCTACCACTCTTCTGCGATCTTCGGGGTTGGGGTACTTAGCCCCTCGGACATTCCATGGCTCGTGGGGTACAGTATGAATGCGAATCATTTTTATCTTGTCCACATCCAACCTCCCACGTTGGTCATCGTTAAAGGCATATGCCCCATGCTTTTCTCGTATCAACTCCTTCACCAATTCCTCCTCTTGCTTTGTCAGAAACCCAGGTTCCCCTATTATCAATTCTTTCTCAGTCTCATCGTTGATACTACAGGGCCCATTATGAATGCCTTCCCTCATTCGCTGTATCAGTTCTCTTTCCTGATCATAGTACAGCCCTTCTTCTTGACTCACTAGAACTGGCACAGGGTGATTTTTCTTGTCTACCGTCTTGTACCTCCTTTGGAGCCCTGCTTGAGCCCACCCCTAAAAAATGCTGACCGACAGCTTGAGCATTCGGCGCATGCGGCACTATTATCTGAGAAGAAGTAGGCGGTCGGTAAACCAGATCGACCCTTCCCCCTTCTGGATCGTCTTGGATCCTTTCTGCGAGTGCCCTGACTGCGTCCGAATCAACCATCCTATAGGCCGATACCAGTTCCACTGCGTCACTGATATGCGAGTGCCCTGACTGCGTCCGGATCAACCATCCTATAGGCCGATACCAGTTCCACTGCGTCGCTGATATTCGTTAGACTTAATACAAGCCCTTTGGCTTCTTCGTCATCTGACTCCTCTTCTTTTTCTTCCCATTCCAGTTCTCTCCTCCTATTTTCTGATTCCTCGAATGTGTAGGATCCGACATTGAGCCTGTTCTTCGAGCTGTGTGGGTCGGTATTCCTAAAGGTGATAACCTCAAAGTTCCCACAGACATGATCACACAAGATCACGAACATGGTGTCGCCGTGCGTGTTCATAATGAGCGATTCGGATCTGTACAGGAATGACCCGCCCAATAATATTGGGAGATCCAAGCTGGGCATGACGTAGAAACACGTACGTATCTTGACTCTTCCAACCTTTATCACCACATTCGATGCAACCCCCATGTACCCGCTCTTGCCGCTGGCTCCATTGAGAAACCCGCAGTCGTTTTCATCTACTTCCAGTCCTAGTTTCACTGCCATTTCTTCGTTTATAATATTCATTTCTGCCCCAGTGTCGACCATCCAAGGACACATCTTCCCCTTTATCATGACATCAATGGACCCTGTTCCCAAAACTTCCAGTCCATTTTTCTCCCTGCCACGCTCCTGTTTGCCTCTTTGGGAATCAGGTCCCGCATTCTGACCGATGTCACTCTCCGGCGTGATAACCTCGCCTTCACTACTTCTCTTAACTTAGGAGCTGAAGCTAGAATTTTTTTCAGATTTAGCAATTCATTGTGATCGTCTAGTAGCTTATTTACTAGACCTTTCAGGTCTACCCCTTTTTCGATCGATATCTGGTACTTTCTC